GCTTTTGAAGTTGCGGACCTAAATATTTTCATAAGCACTTTAGAAATTGCGGAGCTAATATTTGGATTAGCGCTGCCCACCACTGGTGGCCACAGATAACGATGGGAAGAAATACAATCAATACGATAAATGAAATGTGTTATTTGAATGAATAATGTGATTAACAGAAACACTTCCTCTAAAATCAAATGTACAAATGTTTCTTCAGAATGGTTCAGAATGGTTCAGGTTCTGGCCTGAGAGCCTTTAGTTGTGAATGTAAGCAGAGTGTCAGCTGTGTACCTGGGGGTGGAGGGTGATCTCCAGCGGGGCGTCAGGCACCACGATGAAAAGTCGAGCCAGCTGAGCGAAGTGTGGCTTCAGGCCTCGGCCCTGCGATGGAGCCGGGACGTAAAGCGGCATGTCGGTGTTCAGCACCCGTGTGGCGGGGTCTTTAGCGCCCCCGGGCCCCAGCGCCTTCACTATCTTCTCAGGGCCGGAGCTGATGAAGCGTCGGCCCCTGCTGTCCTCGTACTCGAACCCCACAAAGACCCGGGCCATGTCGTCCCTCCTCCTCCGGCCCAGATCCCCGGCACTGCCTCGCTTTCCCACCAGACTCTTGTTGGGGGCCGGCCACGAGGACGGACCCCCGTCCAGAGGCTCCGTCAGTCCCGTGTCTTCCTCCGATCGAGAGCGAATCACCAAGTCCCACGGTAAGAGGAAGGAGGAGCCGGGGAGGAAACCGGGCTGCTCCAGGCCCGTGTGGCAGTTGTATGTCTTTGCTGGGCCCAGTTTGAGCAGAGACCAGCTGGAGAACTTGGGCAGAAGGCCTTTGGGGCAGCTGGAGTGCATCATACCAGGGAGATACTCCACGGTGGAGGGCTGACGGTCAATGAGACTYGGCCTTTTGGGTTGGACCTGGTTTTCAGGTCCTTCCCCGTCCCCATACGGCCCCAGGCTGTCGCTGGACTGACCCAGACTGAGAGCCAGGCTGAGGCTGGTGTCTCCAGGCGTGTGACTCTGAGCGGTGCTCGCCTCCTTCAGCCTCTCTGCATCGCCCGACGCCTCGGAGGGGAGCCGCTGAGTCTGGTTGGAGGCGGGAGCCGGGTCGGGGGTGCTGGGCTGAAACACAGGAAACTGGATCTTTTCCAGCTTCCCGCAGCACTTCTCCTCCAGCATCTGAGCAGGAAATGAACAGATATCAGTTTAATTTTCAGTAGCTGTGTTTCCATTGCAAATGAGCGTAAAACTTTGTCGATATTCTGTTAATGTGGAAAAACACAGTTTCGCAACTGCAGTGTTTCCATTAAGTAATAAATGTTATTAAAGT